TTAAATCATATCCCTTAGCGAGCTTGTATTTTCCAGGTTTGAAATTATATCCCATTTGGTGCTGAACCATAAAGCTAAATAGGTTCGGGTCAGTATTTCCTTCCTTGAACTTTCTAATAGCTTCTTTATATCTGTCACTAAAGTCAAGAGTAGCTGGGTAACCATAATTTTCCTTAAGCATTTTTAAGAATTCTTGGTTTCCTTGTTCTCTACTTCTTTTATGTCCTTGCTCTGTTTGTGGTTGTTGCTGTGCAGTGTTTTGAACTGTTGGTTGTGGTGCAGTGTTTTGAACTGTTGGTTGTGGTGCAGTGTTTTGAACTGTTGGTTGTGGTGCAGTGTTTTGAACTGTTGGTTGTTGTGCTGGATTTTGAACTGTTGGTTGTTGTGTTGGTTTTGGTGCATGCCTGTGTCTGTGTCCATGTGACGATGTAAATGTTTTAGGTAGTCCTGGTGCAGGTGCTTCTCTTGGAGGGTTTGGTGGTATATAAGTTCCACTAGCTAGTATATAAGTTCCACCAGCTGGTATATAAGTTCCACCAGCTGGCACATATGTTCCATCTGCAGCATAATGTCCTACCTGACTTTTCGTTTTTAAGAAAGCATTTACTAGGTCTGTTTTGGTCTGTTGTAACTCTTTTTCTTGACTTTCCACAACAGTTGCTCTAACGGCGTCATAGGCACTTTGAACTGCCTGTCTCGTTGCTGCATCTGTTATTTTCGTCATATTTTGTGCTACTTCTCTTAACTCTTTGTCGAAACCTTCAGACTTCAGTTTCTTTCCAGATGAGAAGTCGTTCACTAGTTTCACCTTACTATGAAGAGCTTCGAAGGCGTTCTTAAAGTCAGCATTCATTAAAGCTTCATTTGAATTGTCTTCATCCGCTTGTATTTTTGTCCTTATTGACCCTATAAGTTGGGCTGCTTTAGCGTTGGCTTGGGCATCTAACCAGTCATTATTAGCTTTTATATATTCTGCGCTTTTCATTGCCTTTTGCATGGCTGCGTCGTTATTTTTACTTTCTTGTGCTAAGTTTTCATACTGTACGGTTTGGTTTTGCAACTGTAAAAGTTTTTCTGCCTTTACATTTGCTTCAACTTCTTTTTTATACTCATCGCTATCCATATATGTCTTCAGGGCTTTTTGTTTTATCTCTTCATCTTTCAGTACTTTATATTGAGTAGTATGGTTTTTCAAATTTATAACATCTTGTTCCATTTTTGCTACTTCTGCTGCTTTTTCTGACACTTTTTTCGCATATTCCTCTGTACTTAGTTCTTTCAGTTGTTCTTCTTTCTTCTTTTTCTCTACGTTTAACTCATTGAGTTTCTTTGTGTGTCTGTCATATTCTAGTTTCTTTTCGTTTTCACTTATTTGTTTCTGTATGTCTATGTTTGACTTTTTGACATCTGTTATTTGATTTTTGAGTGAACTCAAATTCATTTGACTTTGAGGGTTATAAGCTGTTCCGTCTGCAGCTCCACCATAGCCTGCCATTTTCGCTAAAAGTGCCGCTCTTAAACCTCCACTCTGTGCACCAATAACTCGGTTTAAAAGCATAGGGTTGCTTGACATTTTGTTGCAACATAGTGGGGTCATTCATCATTTGTTGTTGCAACTGTTGTTGTGGTGTCAGTTTTACTATTGGATGTTTCAATGCTCTCTTCCTCTTACGTATATTCTTACGTAGCTTACGTGGCATTTTAAGTGAAGTTAAAAAGCGGTTTTTGACAGATGTTTATATGACACTTTTTGTTCAGCACAAAAAACTACTCGGTCAAAGTGTTGTCAGTTTTGTAAAATAACCGTCCTATCTCATTCTATAAGGGAGAAAAGGCTTCTCAAAGTATACTTCCTTGGAACGCCTGTAACTTTTCCTGTAGCGACGATAGACCCTTACTTGTCCGGACAAAGTTATACTATTTTGAGTGCTCTACAAAAAAGTCAACGGCGACGACTCTCAAAAATTTTTTATGGGCTAGAGGGCGCAACGCGCCTGGAAGCCCATCCCAAGAAAAAAAAAACTTCATTATACTAAACATCTTCAGGGCTAGAGGGCACGAAGTGCCTGGAGGCCCCACTACCTTTTTTTTTTTAAATAATTATAAATTTCAAGTTAAATTTTAATTTTGATAAATAATTTAAATTTCAAAATATCAAGTTCAGTTCGACTCTGTATGTAGTAATTCCTCAATAAAGTGCCAAAACCCTATTAAAATATATGAACATTTTCAACATTTTAATGTTTTTATTTAAAAATTTGATGGAATATGAGCTTCAAACAATTATTATGTAAATAAAAATAATTAAATATATGTATTTATTCGTATTACAACCGTAGTAAGTCGATTCTTCCTTTCTTCTACTGAGATTTGAATTTGATTTCGAATTGTAAAGAGATTCAAAGGGAAAATACTAGCGGATAAAAACTACCTCCATGAAAGGGTCATAATGGACTCAAGTTGTATTTTTTGATATTTTTTGCTTTTCGAGCCTAAATAGGTAGCCAAGATAATGCCTAAAAATAAGGTTCTAAATTCTGAAGTTTACATGATCCTCTCGTGTGCACCCTTAAACTCTCAGCATCAGAATATCCTTACATAGCTTAGCTATATATCGTATTACTTTATGAATAAAAAATTATTTAAATTATAATAAAATGTTTATTCGTATTTTTACTTTATTTTTAGTTACGAGGCTGTATTTCGAACTCAGGATTTGGGTTTAAGTCCTTTGTCCATTTAGGACCCTGGTCCCAAATTGATTTTGGAGTAGGTTTTCCACCGAAAAGATCTTTAAGAGCTGTATGAACCCATACTGTGTTGTATTCTTCTATTGCGTGAGGTAAAAATTCTCTTATTTCGATAAAATCTGGGCGAGCCGAAAAGATTGTTTGCCAAAAACGTTCTATTTTACCATTTAACTGTGGTGTGTAAGGTTCTGTCCGATGTTGTTGAATGCCATTTACTTGAAGAACGTTTTTGAAGTCCTTTCCTGTAAATTCGCATCCATTATCTGTCAAAAGTTCGTATGGAATAATTTTGATAGAGTCGATAGCATTTTGTAAAGCTTTTGAAGTTGATTTCATTGTTTTATCGGGAAGAATTTCGTAATAAATACAAAAACGAGATCTGTCATCGATAAAGGCAATTAAATGATAAGTATGCTTGGTACCATTTGTCTCTTCTTTGAAGCTTTTTAAATCAGTATGCCATTGCTGATTTACGTATTGGGAAACATACTGATTTGGATGTTCATCAATTTTTTCTGGATCTCGCCGAAATTTGAAAAGATTCTCTTTTTCGTATAATTTAAGCATATCGTGAAATGAAACTGTGTCATCATGTATGTAACTCTCTAAAACTTTTTTATAATCTAGATTGTACTTAGCTTTTATTTCGTGAATGGTTGGTAACAAATCTGTTCTAAGAGGAGTTTCTGGTCTTCCGAGCTTTTTTGGATTTAAACCAAGTTCTTGCCATTTTAATAATAATTTTTTTCTACCTATGTGCAAATCTTTTGCAACTTGGTCTGCTGTCTTTTTGCCAATAGAATATTCAAGATATGCCGTAATATAAATCTGATTTTCATTTGGCAGATCCACTTCTTGTCTTTCCATTTTTTTTGAATCAATTTATACAAATAAACTTATAAAACACAAAATTATTATTTTATAATATAATTCTTAGATAATACATCTGATATGTAAAGTGTCAAAAATGAATTGAACCGAATTTTCATGCATTACACTGGCTATTTATTTTAATACTTATATTTTTGCCCATTTGTATATTTCGTATATTAAACAACCTCACAAAATTTTCATCAGAATCTTTCTTCATGATGTTACGCAATATAAATGATGTAAAATTTTTGAAATCATTCCTTAAACAGCAACCAGTGATTTCTTATTTCACAATTTTGAGAACATATGACAGTGCTAATAATTCTACTGATTATCATATTGAAGCAAGATACAATTTTAATTATAGTTCATATCAATTCCAACCTTTAAAAATTAGAACATATGAAAATGAAGCAGCTGTTTATCTATTCAAAGAAGAATATGTTTTCAATGAAGATGCAAAAGAAAAATTCAATAACTTTTTAGAAGAAGTTAATGAGAAATCTCGTAGATACGTCCATTTTCACGATATTTTACATGACGACCCTGATACACTCTTGTTTTGCTTTAACAAAAGAAATTCAAAAATTATAAATTTTATGTCAAGCATATATGGTCGAATTTTATATATACTCCTCACAATAATGAATTTACAAGGAATTTATGAAAAAATTTTCCTAACGCAAGTTGATAATTATGAGGAAATTACAGTTAAAAAAATGATTTCATTAGATAAAGAAGAGTTTCTCTATAAATACAATATAAATTTTCCTGGAAACAATAGTCTATGTCTGAAATCGTGGAAAGAAAATCTAATTTTCTGGGACATTTTGGATTTTTTATCAGGCCTTTTTAGATGTGGGGTGATTACCTTATTAATTTTGGCAGTATTGAACATTCAAGATGGTAGGCCTATTTTCTGGTTACATCATTGAAAACAATTGTTTTAACATTTCATTTCTTTCTTAATCATTGATGCTCTTTTTTTTTTTGACAATTTTAGTCAGTGTAACAAAGTCATAACAAGATTTGCAATCACAAGACGTTCTAAACAGCCTTATATTGGTTTATCGGCCTTAGACCACTCAATTAAATTTAATTTTTTTTTAAGAATTGCCAAAATGACCTCAGAATTGCCAAGTCTGCATCCCTAAGTATGACTTTCCTGATTATTAGGTATGTCTTGGTATCCTTTATTTTATTGTAGAATTTAGCATCGATCTTTGCTAAGAATTGAGAATGGAAAAAAAAATTGGCTTTGACAAAAAATTTCTTATAACAAAAAATGAAAAACATTAGAAATCTGTGTGATTATAAAACATTTAAAATTTTAACATTTTTTTTCCAAAATTTACTTTATTTTTTTCCAACTCATAAATGGAGAAGATCCTTGAGCTTTTCTGTGCCAAAACGCCTGAAAAGTTCCAAGAAGCAGTTTCTATATTACGAGGATTACCTCCAAATGAAGATACAAAGTTTCTTCTTCACAATACACTAATTTCTCCTCCCCCTTCTAATTTCAATCAAGAAGAATGGGATCTTGTTCGATACATCGTCGGTTTGCAGTACTTAATGTCCAAGAACGGATCTGTTTCTCTATTAAAAAAATTTCCAAATTTACCTCCTCCGCAATATGGTCCATTATTTTGCTTACTTAACAGGATTCCGTTAAAGAATGATAACTCTGATCCACTTGCTTATGAAGAAGCGATGAGAAATGTTAAAAATGCATTTAGTGAGTGTATTAAACGAGATACTCCTTCTCAATACTTCTCAGTAACTCTAGAAAATTATCTACATCGTCTTCCTGAATGTCTTTATAAAAACGCAACTGAAGCTCTTACAATAATTGATTCCATTTCCCAAATGAAGTTTGATAATTTATCAATCAAAGGATATCAATTAATTATCGATTCTATACAAAATCCCTCTACTAATCCCAAGAAAATACAAATAATTGAAGCAATATTAAGATCAAATCCGAATTTACCATCAGCAATCTACCAAAAACTCTACATTTGTGCCTGTGTGCAACAAGGTAGACCACAAAATGACCAGATAATTCAAGAAAAAATCATTCTTGAGATGTATAATCACAGATTTCGCTACGACCTCTCAAAAGCCGAAATTTTCTCCCTGAAAAACATAAACTACACAATGCAATTTGATAAACTCATCCTTTCCGGTTCAAATAAAATAAAAAATGGAATTCCACCTCAAATGGAGAAACAACCTTTCATGGATGAAATATCCAAGAACGCTAACACTGCTTTTATATTTTACAGCGCTTGTCTTTTACAAGAAACACATTCAATTTCAGATTTACTCAAACAACGCGGTCTTTGCTTATATTTCAACGAAATTGGTGCTTCTTACAAAGACTATGTACCTTTCCAAGAGCAACCACATAGTTTGAACAAGACATCTGACTTAGATTATTTATTAGTCACAAATTACAATCCGATCATTGTTTACAGCAAAGAAGAATCGAAAGCAATGTTCAAGAAGTTCTCATCTCAAGTCAATGCTGACATAGAGAAGTTTTTCCAAGTAATGAGATTTTTCAACAACTGGATTACGAAGAATTACGATTCCTACAGCATAATTAGCAATGGATTGTTCAACTTCATCATCCAATTGATAGTTAAGATGATGATTGTTTCCGGAAAATGTTCATTTTTAATTTTGAATACAAATTTGAAAGAAAACCGTAAAAACCAGAACCAAATTCTCACAAAAGAGAGCCAGTATAACAGGTACATTGCAGATCTCCTTAAAAACCTGTTCAACTCGAGTAAAACTCTTGTTGATTTATCAATTTCCGAAGATATCTCCAATTTGTTAATAGAAGCCGTCATGGAAGGCAACCATACCTTTAGACTTGTTCAAAGCTTCATCACTGTGTTTTGCAATGATGGTTTACCAACATTACACGATTTATATAATTCAATTGTTGAAAAAATGTTCATGAATTTATATTTGAAGCTTCAAAATGCATCTAATTGTAACAATGAAGATTGTATGAGACAATTAGAACAAGTTTTCTTGTTTATTTTGAGAATTGCCGAAAAATTAAAAATAGAAAAAAACGAATCTTTCGGAAGAATGCTAGAATCAATTGAAACTAAGTTCCTTATGGCATTAATCAAGTTATCCAAGTTCACTGTTTGTCTTGACATCATTTACAGGTTCATCATACAATACTACAACGCGTTGGAGTTCCATTGTCCATCGAAAAACGAAAAAAATGGTGATGAAAAACAAATGAAAGCAAAAGAATGTGAAAAGTTTGAAAGAGTAACAACGAATTCACAAAACTCTGCTGCTTTGGCTTATTTAATGAGAGCAAGTCATGATAAACAAAATTCTAATTTTAATGAATCCGAAATTTCCCAAATTTTGGAAAACTTAAAAATCGGATTAAATTCGGAACAACCTGAGCGTGTTTCCATCACTGCAAAGATCTTTACGAAGGTTTTTCCACGTCTTAAACTCACAAAGATAGATAATGACTTATTCATGTCTTTGTTGGATGCTTTGCCGAACGTGAAAGAGAGAAATGATCAACAAGAAATTGCGGATTTCATTTGTAAAATTGGGTTTAATTCGACACACGAAAAACCATATAAAGAAAAGCCATTTACTTTCTGTTTGGAAGGTTCTGATATAGATATCAATGCAATCTTGACGTCGTTAAGTACTACATCTACTGAGAAATCTCAAACACCGTTCGTTTTCTCATTTTTAAACCAAGCAATTGAAGAAATTAAAAAGAAATATGAAAACGATAACGATCAAAATGCTCTCAAAGATGTTTTAACGAAATTCCATTACATTGCCACTGATTTAAGCAAGTTTAAAGCAATGCATAATCATATCATGGACATGTACAAGAACTTGAATGATTATTTTGCTGATATTATTTGCAAAGGTGGCAATGACATCTACTTTTTATCTTTGATTTCTGTTTCTATGCATTTGGAAAGTTATACTGAGCATTTCACACTATACCAAGTATTTAACTTCCTTAAAGACATGAAATCAAAAGGAGTACAAGATGAAATTGTCAAGAAAATCATTGATCACATGAATTATTATTATAATACTTATGAATTCTTTTGTTTCATGAATGCTTGCACAGCAATAAAGAAAGTTTTTCCCCATTTGATAGGTGCAAAAGAACTTATCAATATAACAGCAGCTATCGTTAATCCTTCCATTAAAATTGTAAAACAAGGTGCAAAAACTTTTGGAAAAATTGTGAGGTCGACGATAGAATCTTCTGATCCAAGTGAAGTGAAGAAATACATTGATTATCTTTATTACACATGCAAATATGATAGGCATTACATGATGTTCCAACAAGAGATTTTCAAGGCTCTTAAAGGTGTCAACTGCAGAATCGATATCGATGGATTAGCCGATGGTTTAAAGAACGAATCATTAATTATCAAATCATTTAAGATTTGTCTTTGTTTGGTTTGTGGATTTAACAGTCCGTTTTTGCAGGTAAACGATGAAAGAATCATTGATAACTTGATCATGGAATTATCTAAGAATCAAAAGGATTATAGGAACATGTATTTGTTCTATTTGTTGTTCTTGTGTTTCGTTATTGGTCCTTATAAAGACAACCAAAACATCAAACCAAAATTCATGAATAATATTTTGGCAAGACAAATTCCACAAATTTTGCAAATACCTGAAGTCATCAAATTAAGAGACTTTTTGGTGCCACAAGATCCTCCAATGATTGATACTACAAACAATGTTTTCGCTTTCGTCAGGAAACTCGCAAATAATCCTATGGATCCTGAGCCTGTAAAAGAAATCTTGAAATCAAATAATTTCAAACCAAGAGATTTCGAAAATCCTGATTTCAGAAGAAATTTCGGACCTCAATTTAGGAGTTTTATTGAGGATCTCGCGAAAATCAATGAATACCCTTATATCCAGTATTCATCCATCAAACAGTTGATGTCTGAAATGATTGTTTATTATCCAAACGAAGTTTGCGAAACTCTCAGATTTACAAATAACAATTCTCCAAAAATTTGTCACATTTTTGAGTACGTTATTTTGACAACATGTAATGAGAACTTTATAAATAAGTTCTTGGAGAAACTTGAAGAATGCTCGAAAGAATATGTTGAGAATCCTGTTTATTTAGGCATTCTAAAGACTGTTTCTGAAGACAAGAAAATTGCAAAAATTCCGAAATTGAAGAGTACTTCGAAACAACTGTTTTCCTTCTATTTCAATATCTTTAAGGAAAAAACTCCTAAAGAAATTGGATTATCTCCAATGGCTTGCTATTACACAGGATGTGCTTTGATTAATTCTTTCATAGAAAATCCAGAATTTTCTGACATTTCTGTCATTTCACAACTTTACGAAATTCCAATGTTGTCAAATTCCGAATTATCCGTTTTATACGAGAACGGATACAACGAAATCCCTAATTCCAAGAGGATTGAATTCATCGACGACATAGCTAAAGATTGGGACAAATTAAGCTGGAGATCATTAGTTGTTCCCTTCCAAAAAATCAATGATATCCAAGATTTGCCACCAGATTTAATTGAAAATATTTGTGATGTCAGTTCACATCACTTGTCATTAACTGACAAGTATTTGATTCCCAGCACATTATTGATTACCAAATTAATTATCCATCCTTATACAATTCATTCCGAAATCTACACGAAACTGATGGTTTTATTGCCACAAATTTTCGGATCAATTGATTCAGAAACTGTTGTCCACGCATTCGAAATTTCCATCAGTTTATGCGAGAAGAGATTCATGCCAGATGAAGTCTATATCGAGATCAGTTCTTTGTTGATCGCTTGCCATTATGGATCTGAATTTGCATTCATGGGAAAAATCAGAGAATTCCTAAATTTGAGACCGGATTTATTCGAACCTGTTCCCTTTGTAATTCATCAGGTTGTTCACACGTGTGTCTTAGATAAATTGATACAGAATTCCTGTGAAAGCACAGAAGTTGACCGCATCAATGATTTGTTCAAAGAAGTTCCAAGTCTTCAAAAATGTTTGCCTTTCTCTATATTTAGAAATCTCTTCAAAGATGAAGGAAGAACAAGAAACATCGATATTTTCTTGAGAGATATCAAACTAGGAATACATATTTCTCAAAATGAATACGATGAAATACTTAGAAGCCATTTAATCTTTAGTCATGTCAATAAAATGTTGACATCTGCACAAGACAATCCTCCACAAGCTCGTGAGAAGATGTTCATTAAGTTCATTCCTTACCTGGCATTGAAAACTGATCCAATTAATTATAAACCATTGATAGAATCTGTCATCATGAAATCTCCAAAAGATCAAATCTTCTTCGCTTTCTTGATCTTTTTCATTGCAAATGGTTATGATTTCGATAAACAGTATGTCCAACAAGCACTTTACAATTTCAAAGCAAGCGCAAATTTGTTGCAAGCTTTAAACGATATTCCTCAAAAATTTGTTAAACAATGTCTCGCGAAATATGGTTTAGTTGATGATTGTTTCAAAGTTTTCGAGAATTGGATGAAGTCTTTAGATGTTGAAAATCCAAAACTCGATCTTCCAATGTTATTTTTAGCTCTGGAACTCATCGAATTTGGAAAAATAGATTTGTCATGGATACCTTTGATTTGGGAGAAATGTAAAAATGGCGAGCAATCTCCAGGAAATTATTACACGTTGACAACAAAAATTAACTATTTGGGAGAAGACCAAACAGCATATGCCCAAATCATTGCGGATATTGCAAAAGAAAGTCTCAAGAATGCAGAGTTATTTGTGAATTCTTCCGTAATGAATTTGCAACAACAAATCTGCACAAAAGCAAAGATTTTAATTCTCCAAGAAATCATTGAATTAGTCATGATTTATAATGTGACAATTCCTCATATTTCTGTTCATTTCTCAATGAATTTGAACTCGACACCTGAAATGTCGGATATATTAGCACCTTATAGCCTCCAAATGCTCATTGCTTATTCGATGCAAGCAACACCAAGTTCGAGAATCAAATGTTTGAAGAAATGTCAGGAAATTACAGGAAAAACTCCTTATGAAAGAATGATGAATTTAGTTTCATTTTTGCCGCCTTTCTTTTGGTGCGACAAATACTTGACTGTGCTCTGTTTAATAGTAATACCACAGGATTTCGAGTTCTGGACACAGTTGGCTGCTTTGGCAACGTGTATTGGCCATAGAGCATCAATTTCAATTGGTGTTTACACTTTTAAGAAAATAATTGAAATTGACTCGGAAATAATCGTCGCTTTATTGAAAAATGTCTTGTTAAGTATACAAAGGCATATCATACATACTGGTGTGTTAGAAGCATTAACAATAAGCATTGTACAAAGTGATTTGATTATTAATACAAAACTTGCTTTCAAAGCTACAAAGAAAACAGGAGATTTATCAATTTCTTTGAACAATCTCTATAAATTCGATGAAGAATTACCAACAGCAAGTATGGTCATGCCACATGAAATAAATGATTTCGTATTCGCGAAATACATAAACGAATTCGCAAAATGTGGAAAGAACTTTGTTGCAGGCGCAATTCATTATTTATTAGGAAATTTCGAAGAAAGTTACAGATTATTACATGTTGATGATCCAAAGATAGAAACTACAGATGTCGTTAACTTGTTCATGAGTTGTTCGGAGAGATTGACAATGAGAGAAAACGAAAACATTTCGGATTTCTTACAAAGAATTTTAGGAAGTGTCAATTTTTCTGTTGATGCAATTGCGAAACTTCTAAATGAAGGAGAGAACAAAGATGCACAAGTAGATGTTGACAAGATCAAAGACATGAACATTTACTATTTGTTATTGAGAAAAGCAGCTCCTTCTATTATGAATTCCGAAAGATTTGTTTTGTTACAAAATATTTTGTCATTTTACCAACATCAAAACGATTCCCAGATTGATAGAATGAGACAACCTTTCTCTCCTTTCAACTCAGCTTTCTTTAAGATCTACACAGAAGCGAAAAGGAAAATTAAGAAAGATTCAATACTTGACATCACTTCACAAGAAGAAGAAGGAAATTATATTGTTTTGTCACAGGAATTTGCACCTTTAGTTAAAGTAATTGTTGGCGAAACAAAGAATGGACAAATCGTTGTTACTTCCCAAAGAATTTCCAATGCTTTGAGGGTTGGTTTAGAAGACACATCGAATCCAGAAAATTTCAGATTGTGGGGTGGATTTTTGGCGACAATTTTCGAATTATCTTCGGAAAGAAGGTCCCAAGACAAATCCATTGTATCTCAATGCATTAATATATACATACATTATCTGAAATATGGAAATTACACTTTGGCGAAGAAATACGAAAGTGCATCACGAATTGTATTTTTAATTACAATTGTTGTTTGTGGAAAATCTCTTGAAGACTTATATGACATTGCTTCTGAGATAAAACTAGATGATGTTTACCGTCATTTGTTCATGTGGATTGAACAATTGCTGATAACAGGAGAAAACAATATAATTATTCGTTCGAATATTGATAATTTCTGCAATCATCAGATGATGGAAACAAAAGGTCGTGATCCTTTGCTTCAAATTGCTGAATTCGCAAGAAAAGATTTTAATGTTGAGAACAGAATATTAAAACCATTACCGATGATGTCTCGTTTTGCTAGTTTCATTTACAATGAATTTGGAGAATACATTGATTTGATAAATGAATCCAAATTTATTTGTAGAATTAATGAACAAGGAATGATTAATTTGTACCTGGCAAATCCTGGAATTATCAATGATGATTCCAAGAAATTGAAGGAAATTAGAGAAATAATTTCACAAAGGAATTTGTCATTTGAAAAGTTTATTGACATTTCCACACGTTTCAATGCACATTTGGAACTATGTAATAGAGAATTCCCGCTTTCTCTTCCGTCCAGAATGCCGAGTACTTTGGAAACATCAACAATTTATCGTTTGACAGGAAAAATTTGTCATTTGAAAGATCACTCACTTTTAATTGAGTTTATCAATGATAACTGCATGAAGAGACAAATTTTAATCCACAGGAACACTGTTTCCAATCACCACGAGATCAGTGTAATGAATTTGTTTGGTTGTATTAATTCTATTTTCAATTCTTGTTATGTAACAAGTATCAGAGGATTTAAATTCGGAACAAGTTCGACTTACGAACTTAGATCACACGAAATGTCTAAATCCGACAGCAAGGTATTATATACAATGACTGTTCTCTCTTCGTGTTACGAACAACTCGGTGATTTGTTGAATTTAGAGGATGAATCAGATGAAAATTGTCAAAGAGCAGAAAATTATTTGGTTTCTAAATCGAATTCCAAAGATGACTTGATCAAAAGAAGAATTGCTCTTACAAGATCTCTATCAGCAAACTACGCTGTTAAAGCGATTTTAGAGTTACAAGATAACTCTTTGTTTATTTCTCCTTCGAGTGCATCTTTCTTCACTGAAAGAAACAAAGTTTTGTTGAGAAAGTCATCAAACTTTGTTTGCAGAATTCCAAAGCCACTTAAAGCTTTATTGGGTCCTCTTTCTCAAGAGGTTATGTCAGTTGGAATTGCTGCAGCTACATCAGCACTCGCTGAATCATCTCTTTCTTTGTCTGCTGTTTTGGACACAGCAATTGTTTGCTCAGACAGAACTCTTTCCGATTTACGTCTGAAAATATTCGAGAGAAGAAAAGAAATCATCGACAATTTGCTGGAAATCACTCCTCCAGTGCACACTCTCGAAGGATCTACCTTCGAATGGTTAGATAAGATTATGTAATTTATATATTATTTATTTATAAAGTTTATTTTTATTTATTTATATTTATTTTGCAATGGAATTTTAAGCTCAATTATGTGTTTCTGAATACGCCTCCATAATATAACAAATTATGGACAAAATTGAATGAGTGAAACGGTTTTCAATTTTAGTGGTCTTGTAAGTAGTATATATGGACGGGTTGTGTGACTTTTTTTGTAAATGTAAGAATTCATACAATATCGAGCGATTTTGTATCATTTTTTTTAACATATGAAGTAAAAAATGTATGATTCTTACGGTTTTTATTCTTACGTTTTTGAATAAATCATTAAAAAAATGTATGATTCTTACGGTTTTTATTCTTACGTTTTTGAATAAATCATTAAAAAAATGATACAAAATCGTTCTATATTGTATGAATTCATACATTTACACTCAGCCCATACATAAATAATTTATTTGATCTTTTATAAAAGAAGCTATATATAGATGATGTCAGGTTATTCAATAATTCATTATTTTTGAAGAACTGATGAGGTCACCAGGTCACCAGGTCACCAGGTAATTCAACTTTCTCTGAAAAAATGTGACAACATGACATTTTGACAACAGGAATGAAAGGAGGATGGTATTTATTAATTATTTTTGAAGAACTGATTGGAATCAATGGAGTCATAAACGAGTAAAATAAACTTTAAAAATTCATGTCTTACATTTCTGAATAATTTATTTTTATTTTGTATGAAATGAGTGTCAAGACTAACGACGTTAAAAAATTAGGATTCACAAACAGGGAAATAAAGGATATATTAGAGGAGGCAGGTTATGAGGTTGATAAATATTATTTAAGAAATTGTCAAAAATTCGCGGAGTTTTTAAATGAGTTTGATTATGATGGAAAAATGAATAAAGATGATGTTATAAATTTCTTATATCCCGCATCTAAAAAAGAAAAACCTAAAGAACCTGATTTTCCCTGAATATTATGAAGAACGAATTAAAGATGATGAATACGATGAAATTGAAAGACTGGAAAAAATAAGAGATGAAATAGATGAAAAAAATTAAGGAATTAAGAGAAGTTGAAAATGAAGTAGAGGGTTTAATGAATATCCCAGCTTCAGAATCAGAAGTTCAGAAATCTCATGAAAGATATAAAAAATTATGTCTCAGAATCAACACAAAATTTATTAGATGGTGAAATAGACGAAACACTTTAAGAAGGTACTAAATTTATTCGTAAACATAAGTTACAATTTATTGATAATGAAGAATACCCCTGTATCTTACTTTCACACCTTTAGATTCCGAAAAATTCAAAAAAGTACGTAAAAACATACAAAAGAAAGAAGATCATGATATTTACACAAATTATTATTTAAATAAATGCACGGGTGATTAAAGTTTTTGATTTATTAGATAAAAAAAACCATTGGAACATATAAAATTTGTGTGATTGCGGTTTCATTGTTGAAGATACCAATAATGTTTCATATGAAAGAACAGCACCAAAGGAAGACGAAGTTGAAAGGTCCATACCATTCGTTATTAAGAACATAAAAGATATGAAAACGTATAAGCATTATATTTATTCATTTATTTCAGAAAAAATGGAAGCAACCCATAAAACATCTTCTCATCATTTTATAGCTATTCATACATTCCTTTCAAAGTTGTGAAATTAAATAAGACAGGAATTAGATTTAATGTATCAGGGTACGCATTCTTGAGTAAATTAAAATGTATTCGTCACGTCGCAGATGATAAAAATTTATGTGTTCTTAATTCATTTTATGGACTTTAATAAAAAAAATTTTTATTTATTTTTTGATATTTTACTCTTACATAAATGAACAAAAACGGAACCATGAATGATAATCAAATTAGAGCAGAAGGTAGAAGGTTATTTAAACGCTTCTATAACATTCCTGATGGTGTTAATCCTAAAACTCGTAGAAGCTATTTAAATGAAGCAATAGATGCATATGAAGGTTTTAACATTTCATCAGAAAGTGAGAGATTAGCGAGAATGTTAAATGTTAATATTGATTTTTATTATTGTGATCCTCAACCAGAAGACGTGGACATAAATAAGGTAGACTTTCCATTAGTGGAATCAATAATGATAGATCCAGAATTTGAAACAGTAAATATTTTATTAACACAGAGTCCATGTGGAAAACTTCACGCTGACAGAATAACAGACGTTGAAGCACTCACCGGCTATAAAGTTTGTCCATATTGTAAAGAAGAAGTTTATTCTATCCGTGATGATCCAGAAAGGAAAAACCGAAGAAGATTTTTAAAGCATTGTGAGAAATGTAAAGAAAATAATGGAAGATTAATTCAAGACGTTCAATTGCAAAAGACACAGCAACCATATACACCACATATTACGAAACAGAAGATATATCAGTGGTTATTAGCTCACAATTTGCAGGAATATTATAAACCGACAAGATATTATATTACTTTTGACTTTGAAACATTAGAGACTAAAGAAGAATTACAACTTTCTGAGTGTGCAACTTTGAACGCTTACTTAAAACCATTCATGGTATCATCAACGGTTAAATTAAACGATAAAACATATACGAGGAATTTTTGCTTAACTTCGAGTGATTCTTTTATTTCTGATTGGATTGAGTTTTTATTTTCAACCTGTTCATTAGTTGCTAAATCAAATATTGAACAATATGAAGAATTATTGAAGCCGCAAACGGTGGGACTTTGACTCATACATTAAATGAAAAACAGAAGGAAGCATTTAAAGAACTTCTAGATGAGGAATTCAATAAAGTGAATATCATAGTTTTAATTCGGGAAAGTTTGATTTAAATTTAATTCTTCGTGATTTAAACACTGCAAAATGGAAAATAAAATCAATGCTGGGTTCATCTTCACAATTTAAGCAAATCATTGTAAAGAAAACAAACGTTCCATATGAATTTAAATTTCAGAAATTATATAGCGGGTGGGACATTAGACCAATTCACTCAAGATTTCGGAAACAATAAATCACGTGTTAAATCCTTTTTCCCTTATCAATTCATCACGTGGGAAAATTACAAAGAAGAATTATATAAAGTGGAACCATTCACTCAAGATTCATTTTATTCAGCATTAACTCAAGAAACTATATCAGATAGTGATTATCAAATATATCTCAATGATGCTAAAAATTTAAGAATAGATTAGAATATTTTATTCATTGCAATAAAGATGTTGAAATTATGATTGACCCAATCGATAAAATTATTGAAGAAACATTTGTTTATAAAATTGATATGCTTCATAATCTTTCTTTATCATCGAATGCTTCAATGATTCGTTACGCTTTAGCATATAAAGACTTTAATCCTAATGAAAAATATCCTGAGGAAAGAGATAGAATCAAGTTTTGAATTAACGAAAAAGTATTGGAAATATAAAATTGAATCATATAAGAAACAAGATGAAAAAGCAGAAAGAGATACTAAAAATAATGTTTCAATGGATGATTTTCAATACTATCACAATTTAATCCTTTCATCTAAATGCAAAATGTGTGGTAAAGCGTTTACATATGCAAATAAACCAACATTAGATAGAATCGATAATGAAAAATCACATACCAAAGAAAATTGTCAGTTAATGTGTTGTTATTGTAATGTCGTAAAATCAAATAAAGATGAAGATGTTCAACGTTTAAGAATCAATTTAAGAAATTATGCATTAAAAAATAATTTACCAATGACTTTAGATTCAGTTGAAGCTTATCACATTCTCCGTAATGGAATTACTGGTGGTTTATCAAATGTTCAACATAGAGTAAATCTTAAAGGAATCACGCACATTAATAAACTTTCATATAATCCAGAAACTAAAACTGTATCAAATGAGGACACCACCAACATTATGACTCATTTCGTTGGTGTTGATTTTAATTCATTATATCCTTCATCATTTTCATCTAATCCTCATGATTTCATTCAATATACTGACCATAAAATGTATATGCCGGGAAGATTGAATGGTGTTATCATTTGTGATACAGCAACAAAGAAAGCAAAAGCACTGGGAATTATTAGAAAGAAAAATACTTTATTCGTGGCTGAAGTAAAGGGTCACATTGATGAAAAATACATTAATGATTACATAAACTTTTTACCGATAATAAGAAACTTAGATATTATCACAGATGAAAAAACAATTGGTGGTTTTATGTATAATTACATGAAATCAAACAATCTACCAGTTGACCAGAAACAGAGAAAATTAACTCAGTTAGCATCAACACACAACCAATATCAACCATTTTCTTCTTATTATCTTTGGTATCTAATCGACAGATTTCATTTTATCATTGATGACATTCAATCAATTTTAACATTTACTAAAAACACTTGTTTTAATGAATTTGTGAATGAATTTATGAACGAAAGACAAAAGGCTGAATTAGAAGGAAATAAAGGAAAAAGTTTATTTTGCAAGATTTCGCTTAATGGATCATATGGTTACGATGCAATGAATACACAAAATTACACAAAGACTAAAATAATGAATGCACAGAAGGCACGCGTTGCATGTATGTCAAATAAGTTTAAAAACATAAGAGAAATAGGAGAGGATACGTATCAAGTGATGCTCAAAGATAGATTTTATAGATGTGATACATGTTTACAAGAGGCATTCTTCACTTTAGATAATGCTAAATACTGGTATTTGGTTTTCATTTATGATTTTATGTATAAATGCATGGATGTTAATCGTTTTCATTTCATTGAAGGTGATACTGATTCATCTTATTGGGCAATCGCTGGCGATCCAAATCTTCCTAACACTCAAGCATTTCAAGCAATTGTTACTGATAAACAATTTTATGATAAAAACATTTTCAAATTCGCACCATCTGATTTCTTCTGTTTTGATGAGAAATTTAAACCTAAATTAAAGAATAAAGCTGAAGAAAAAGCACATGAGAAGAAGTTATTGGGTTTAGCAATTGAGAAACAAGGTGATAACATGGTTGCTTTATGCCCCAAGTGTTATACATCATTCAACGGTTCAATTGATGGAGGTGATTTTAAAAAGATTGCACAAAAAATGAAAGGTGTTAGTTTACGACAAAATAAACAATTAACACCTAAAAATTATTTGGATATAATAAATGATAAAGTGATATTTGATGGTCAGAATATTAATTTACAACTTAAAAATGGGTCAATGACTCGCTTAACAATTGGTAAGACTGCATTAACAGGAGCACACACTAAGGCTGTATGTTGTGAAAATGGATGTTGTATGCCATTTATTTAATACAACTTAAAAACGTAGGGGTTGAGTCATGAATTTAAAATTTTATTTTTAATGAAATGCCACAGAAGAGACAAAAGGAACCGTTGAATGATGGTTTTGATTCTTGATCAAAGAGGTAGGGCGCCCTTAAAACATTTATTTTATTTTTATATAAATGGATAATGTAGATTTAAAAATTTTAATTGATGATTTAGTATTTAATCAAAATTTTCTTACTTATTATGAATTAAAAGCATATCTCCAAAAATATGATGAAAATATAACGGGTGATGATATGGATTATTATTATCATTATTATAAAAATGAAATTTTGAAATATCATGATAAAATAATTTCTAAAATTAAAGACAAAATTAAAAATAATGAATATACAAAGGGAAAAACTAAATCACAACTTAAACAATTGAAAGATTTCAAAAATAAAGTATTAACAGAAGAAGATATTGATGAATTATATAATTTATATAATCCCGAGCCGCAAAAGCCAAATGTTCAACAGTTAAAAGTGCAAAACACCCAGGTCATTCAGACCATAAATGATGCACAAGCTTTAATTTATGATTCATTAGTTAAACCACACTCAGCCCGACTTTTAAATGAAGATCAACTTTTGGAATTCATCCTTCAACATAAACTCGAAGCGGGAAAGTATATCAAACCTTTATATACAGCATATTTAAAACAAATGAATAGAATACATCCGGAATTAATGAAAGGAGGAATGAAATCCAAAATCAAAGCAGATAAAATTAAACCACTTGCAACCCCAAAACCTCCAACAGTAGTACCTCCTCCTCCTTCAGTTAATCCTTCATCATTCACTTTATTATATCCATTTCAAACATTAAAGAAGCAAAAAGATTTTAAAAAGGATTTCAAGATATTAAATAAACCAATTGACCCAAAAATTCAACCGTTAAAGGAAAAATTTGGTCGCCCTTCATTTGCACCATATCCATATTCATACGAAATCGATCATTTAGAATATTCAAAAGGAAACGTTACTTATTTATTTGTCATTAACATTAACACAAGATATTTATATTGCATTCCAGTGAAAGGGAAAACAGAACAGGAAACAAGAAGAGCTATTCAATACTTACTAGATCATGAAAGAGTAGATAATATCAGGGGTGATGGTGATAAAGGATTTCAGGCAGCTATGGCTCATTATTTCCCACAAATTAATTTTTACTTTTCATCCTCTCCATATACGTTTCATAATAAAATAGTTGATGCAGTAATGAGAACTCTTAGAGATGCGTTAGGGGTTAACGGTCAGATATACTGGGATGGAAATCATGACTCCATCATACAGCAGTTAGTATATTATTACAATAATTCATGGCATAGAACTATAAACATGAAACCTGTGGAAATGAAAAATGATATTTCAAAAGAATGGGAATATATTAGAAAGCAAATGGAAAGGTTAAATGATGTTAAACGTGAACAAATTAATTCGGGGCTCATGAATTTTAAACAAGGGGATAAAGTTTTGATTCATCTCGATTATGGAAAAACTGATAAATCAATGACAAAAAGAAGACGAAGATTTGACACAATAGCTGAATTTGTTAGATATATTAACGGTAATGTATTAGTTGAGGTTAACAATAAATTAATAGAAATTCCGATTTATTTTATTACTCCATTATATTTAAATAACATTTAATTTTTTTATTTCGTAAGAAATGAGTGACAACGAAGCAACCAAGAGTCCAGACGATGAATATAAAAAGAAACTAAACAGAATTAAATCAAAAATATGCTATTGCAAAAAGAAGCAGCAATGTGGTGGGGTTGAAAACAATAAAAAAATAATCGAAAAATTAGAAACTTACCGTTCAATCCTCAAACTGAGTGAAGCAAAAATAAAAGAATTTAATAGAATAAATAAATTGATTGGAAGAGATGAATTTAATAAAGATGAATTTTTAAACTCAATCCAAAATTAATTTTTATTCCTCATCTTCTCGGTTTTCGTGGTTTGTTGTTTTTCACACATTTTTCCAACTTCTTCTTCAAACAAATGTTTAGCATTCTCTACTGTATCTTCGAGTTCTTCTTCATCTAATTTCTCATGAACTTTCTTGTCTATGGAGTCCATAATTTTTCCAACTGCTATGCAATATTTTGGTGAAGCCCACATTGCTACAGCGTTTACTAAAAGTCTATGAACATAATAACCTTTCAAACCAGGAGCCAAATTCTTGTGATTTTCATACGGAATCTCTTCACTTGGTTGCTTTGACTGAACGAATGAGACGTAACTGTTTGTTATACTGTATGTACTCGTATTCTTCATTTATGGCTTCATGGACTATAACTGTTGTTGTGTTCTCTGATGTTGTCATTACTGTCTTTACATACAAAATAAATAAAACTAACTTTATTTTCTGACTTTCACAAAAGACCAAAAATAAACGCTTTACATGTATTTTTCAGCAACTTCGTCAAATAATTTTATAGCTTTATCTATCTCATCTACTTCAAACGTTTCTTTACCTTTCGTGGGAGCACCATACATTTTCTCAAAAACTTCAAGCAGTTCTGTTTCAGCAGCTCTCATATCATTAACAAACACAACCTTGACTCTATTGACTGTACTGTCATATCTTTGAGTTATATTATATGTCCTTCCTATCTTATATCTTTTTGTGTTGAAGTCCTTCGGTTTCTGAACGATGTAAAGTAAGCCTTCACTGCAACGTTCCGTATCGAATGAACCATATGTTATGAAGTTATATCCAACAACTGGGTCTAACCATAACAAAACTATTGGTATAAGACTTTTGTCTATAAGATATGCTCTTGTTCCATGAAATGCTACTGATATCATAAGCTCAGGATTTCTTGTCAAAATTTTCTGAGTTGAAGCATTTCTAACCCAGTCGTTTGTTTTCTTTTCAGATGGAGATATAATGTCTGACAAAGAATATTTGTTGTATTTCTTTGAGTATCTTACGTTTAAATCACCTATTCTAACCACTTTGGTGTCATTGTCTATCTTTCTAACTGTTTCAAACTCAATGTTTGTCATTACTGTCTTTACATACAAAACAAAAAAATAAATAAAAATAAAATTAGCGTTATTTTTCTAACTAATGAAATTCATTATTTTTGAAGAACTGATGAGGTCACCAGGTCACCAGGTCACCAGGTAATTCAACTTTCTCTGAAAAAATGTGACAACATGACATTTTGACAACAACATAGGAGGATGGTATTTATTCATTATTTTTGAAGAACTGATGAGGTCACCAGGTCACCAGGTAATTCAACTTTCTCTGAAAAAATGTGACAACATGACATTTTGACAACAACATAGGAGGATGGTATTTATTCATTATTTTTGAAGAACTGATGAGGTCACCAGGTCACCAGGTAATTCAACTTTCTCTGAAAAAATGTGACAACATGACATTTTGACAACAGGAATGAAATTTGATGTAGCCCAAAAATAAAGTTAGTTTTAAAATTATTTTTATTTTTTTATTCCTATATAAATGACAGCAACAAACAACAACAGCAACTATATCGTTTCTGATGAAAAAGTTATTGATTCATTAGTTGAGGAATTAGCTGAGGAATTAGTTATGGCAGAAACTAAAACCCTCAACGAAAGAATTGGTGAAAACAAGATTGATTTACATAACTACCTCAAATACGATGGAGGAAGAGGAAGGAAAACTGGTATGGCTTTATTAGTAAATAAAATTTCGAATTTAACGATTATAGATGTTGATATCAATAAATCGTACAATGATGAACTTAAAGAAACAGTTAGAAAAGACATTCTATCAAAACTTTCGGATAAAGATGTTATCGTTAAACTTCTTCGGAAATGTTAACACAACATCTGTAACGTTATGAAGAGCGTATGAGAAATCTGAGCTAATATAGGGTGTCCAAAGGTGTGTTTAGCACAAACCTGAATACTGCGAATAGAAATAAACAAGTTACATATATATAAAGTTTATTTAAATATAATCACCATTGGATTCAATCACGCGTTCGCAGCGATCGATCCAGGCTTGAAAGACACGCTTTAAATCATCATGAGAAAATTGCTCAAATTGCTCTCTTACAAAATTTTCAAGATCATCTGGACTCGCGAATTCGCGTCCTTCAGCTCTCTTTTTTAGCGTGCCGAATAAATAAAAGTCAGAGGGTGCAATATCAGGTGAATAAATTGGGTTTAGAACAACTTTGACATTGTTTTCCACCAAGTAATTCATTACCTTATGACTTTTGTGAACTCTTGAATTATCAAAATGAATTGCAAACTTTTGTTTTTGTTGTTTGGATTTCTCAAACTCATCAGAATTGATAATTTGAGTAAGAACATTGTCAATTAGATACTGAGCATTCATCGTATTAGGTTTTTGAAGAACATCAATTGCGATGATGCCATTCACGCCCCAAAAAACCGACAACATCATCATTGGTGTGTCAATTTTTTTCTTCGGGAATGTTTGCGGATTTTCATCCTTCGGGATCCACATGATTTTGGCTTCTGTTGCATATTGAAACCAAGACTCGTCCCCTGTTACTAAAAAGCGAAACTTCTTGGATTGATACGCACCCAATATAGAGAGGAGCTCTTTCGAAGATTGGACTCTAGATTTTTTTGAACTGAATTAAGGTTGTGCGGAACCCAACGTGTATACGCTAGTTTGTAGTTCAAATAATTGTGCAGATAATAACTGACTGTTGTACGTGGTATCTTTGTCATCTCCTCTATCCTTCTGAGTGATGCTCTTGGGTCTTCATCTAGCGCTTGAAGAATTGCTTTGATTTTTCTTTGATCCGGCGATTTTTTGTCAATTTTTATGATGGGCGCCTTTTTGTTCATGAAGTGATACATCCTAACATGATACGTTACAGTGGAATAGCTAGGAGCATCCATACCGAAGCATTTTACCAATGTCTCGTAGATTTTTTTACAGTCTTTGCATTTTGTTGCAAGAGCGAGGATGTTTTCTTTATGATTCATTAAAAAAATGAAAAAAATCCCGCCAAAATTTCCCGCGAAACCGCCTCTTGTCTCAAAATTCATTTTATATCCCGGCATGGCGCCAAAATACAACATACTCATCATATACATATATTCATATTTTTTATTATATATTTATAATCAGCATATATCTCCTTTAATAGTCTCATATAGAGCGCTGTGCTAAACGCACCTTTGGACACCCTATACCTTCAGGAGTGATGCAACCTCCATTTAGTGAACGAACGTCAATATGTTGAGCTGGAATCATGAATGGATCTTCCTTACTAAATAAACGTGGTATTGCTTTAACTGATTCTTCAATTAAACCGTATCCTGGTGTAATGCATTTATCCTCTAAAACTTCCATCTTTGTGCATGAAATAATAACGTCATCAACTGTTGCGTCAGCAGATGTAGCGGCTAAGCTTGTAATTAATTTGGTAGGAAGTCCGATTTGTTGGAATTTGCGATCATATTTATAAACATGATTCATAATCTTTTCATAATTTTCATCAGTTATCTTTTCATAAACGTAATTTTGTAAATCAGCAACTCTTAACGGGTCAACCTGACAAAATACTAAAGTATCCCTGAAAACATAATATTTAAGAATGATATCACCAAATGATTTAGGATAATCATCGAACGCCTGAAATGCTAACAAATCATTTACCGGAATAATCATATCAAAAGTGATATTAACTTCTTCATTTGCTTTCTTGAAAACTTCTGAAGGGTCAATATATTTACCACATACTGAGTTATCATATTTTTGAACATTATTATATAACGAATGAACAAACTTTTTAACTTTCCTTTCTGATTTTGGTTTATATGTTGCAAATGCGAAAGATTCACGGGCGCAATCCATCTGAAGATAACCGGCATCACCTCTTTCGGTTTCTACTTCGAATTGTTTAAAGCTTTGATTTGATGATTTGTAACCAACGAATAAACGCATGCATTTAAAAGCGGTATCACATGTGAAAGCTTTATTTGAAACTAGAGTTGCTTTAACTTTGCGTTTAATATATGTGTCACCTAATTGATTCACATCATGAGCCGGATTTGTAATTCTTAAATGAGTTTGTTTATCATCAAAATATGGAGCATCAGAGTCATAGCATGAACTTTCAAGTTCTCTATAATATCTTCTACCGTCATTCTTTGCAAATATTTCATTTATCTTTTCGAATGAATGAAACACATTTCCATTAATCGGTTTGGTGTTTGGCACTAAATAGTTAGTCGTCATTTATTAATAAATAAAAAAATCAAAATTAAAAGATGGAAATGAATTTTTAATTTTAATGAAATAATCAACTATGGCTGCAGGTATATTTAAGAAACTGTGGGATAGAGTAAAAAGAGGGGCGAGTAAAGTTTGGGAAACATTGAAGAAGGGAGCAAATTGGATATTTAAGAATAAAGAAGCAATTAGTGACGTTGCTGAATCAATAACACCAAAAGCTGCCCCAATAAGAGAAATTTTAAATAAAGGAGAAAAAGTTTATCAAAGACTACAACCGATACTAAGATAAAAATAATTTTAAAATAATTTATTTTTCCACTATCTACCCCCTATTTTATTAAGTATTCCTTCAGCTATTCCACCAATTGCGTTACCTGCTTGTGCTCCCATCGCCGGATTACCTGCTTTAGTACCTAATACTCCACCTATGATAGTTCCTGCCGTTTTCGCTACTGGTGCCAAAAAGTTTGCAACAGGTTTAATAACCTTTTTATAAACCCAACCTGCAGCTTTCTTAATTCCATCCCATAATTTTTTAAAGAATCCTGCCGCCATTTCTGATTTAATATTAATTAAAAAATATATTTCATCACTTATATTCTAATTTTTATTTAATGATAAATGAAACCGATTTTAAAAATAAATGAAACAGAGGAGGAAGAAATAAATGAAAATGTTCAACAAAAAATAAACGTTGTTAAACCAATTACTGAAATAAAAATTTTTTCATCTGTTGATGAATTTAATGACTATTATGCTAATAATAAAAAATTATTTGAAGAATTGACAACATGTAAATTGAATAAAATGTTTAAAGTTGATGGATTCAAAATTTCAAAAATAAAAGGGGTGGTTAGTTTGAAATCTATTCCTCAATCAAGAATCACCTCATTAATGAAAATTGATGATTTAACAAAAAGAATAGAAGAGATTGAAGAAAGAATGAATCAAATAATTGATTTCATAAATTCAAATAATCATTAGTTTCTAATTTCTTTTTCTCGTTTATGAGGTCTTTGATTATGACTCCATTGATTCCAATCAGTTCTTCAAAAATAATTAATAAATACCATCCTCCTTTCATTCCTGTTGTCAAAATGTCATGTTGTCACATTTTTTCAGAGAAAGTTGAATTACCTGGTGACCTGGTGACCTGGTGACCTCATCAGTTCTTCAAAAATAATGAATTATTGAATAACCTGACATCATCTATATATAGCTTCTTTTATAAAAGATCAAATAAATTATTTATGTATGGGCTGAGTGTAAATGTATGAATTCATACAATATATAGGGTGTCCAAAGGTGCGTTTAGCACAGCGCTCTATATGAGACTATTAAAGGAGATATATGCTGATTATAAATATATAATAAAAAATATGAATATATGTATATGATGAGTATGTTGTATTTTGGCGCCATGCCGGGATATAAAATGAATTTTGAGACAAGAGGCGGTTTCGCGGGAAATTTTGGCGGGATTTTTTTCATTTTTTTAATGAATCATAAAGAAAACATCCTCGCTCTTGCAAAAAATTGCAAAGACTGTAAAAAAATCTACGAGACATTGGTAAAATGCTTCGGTATGGATGCTCCTAGCTATTCCACTGTAACGTATCGTGTTAGGATGTATCACTTCATGAACAAAAAGGCGCCCATCATAAAAATTGACAAAAAATCGCCGGATCAAAGAAAAATCAAAGCAATTCTTCAAGCGCTAGATGAAGACCCAAGAGCATCACTCAGAAGGATAGAGGAGATGACAAAGATACCACGTACAACAGTCAGTTATTATCTGCACAATTATTTGAACTACAAACTAGCGTATACACGTTGGGTTCCGCACAACCTTAATTCAGTTCAAAAAAAATCTAGAGTCCAATCTTCGAAAGAGCTCCTCTCTATATTGGGTGCGTATCAATCCAAGAAGTTTCGCTTTTTAGTAACAGGGGACGAGTCTTGGTTTCAATATGCAACAGAAGCCAAAATCATGTGGATCCCGAAGGATGAAAATCCGCAAACATTCCCGAAGAAAAAAATTGACACACCAATGATGATGTTGTCGGTTTTTTGGGGCGTGAATGGCATCATCGCAATTGATATTCTTCAAAAACCTAATACGATGAATGCTCAGTATCTAATTGACAATGTTCTTACCCAAATTATCAATTCTGATGAGTTTGAGAAATCCAAACAACAAAAACAAAAGTTTGCAATTCATTTTGATAATTCAAGAGTTCACAAAAGTCATAAGGTAATGAATTACTTGTTGGAAAACAATGTCAAAGTTGTTCCAAACCCAATTTATTCACCTGATATTGCACCCTCTGACTTTTATTTATTCGGCACGCTAAAAAAGAGAGCTGAAGGACGCGAATTCGCGAGTCCAGATGATCTTGAAAATTTTGTAAGAGAGCAATTTGAGCAATTTTCTCATGATGATTTAAAGCGTGTCTTTCAAGCCTGGATCGATCGCTGCGAACGCGTGATTGAATCCAATGGTGATTATATTTAAATAAACTTTATATATATGTAACTTGTTTATTTCTATTCGCAGTATTCAGGTTTGTGCTAAACACACCTTTGGACACCCTATAGAACGATTTTGTATCATTTTTTTAATGATTTATTCAAAAACGTAAGAATAAAAACCGTAAGAATCATACATTTTTTTAATGATTTATTCAAAAACGTAAGAATAAAAACCGTAAGAATCATACATTTTTTACTTCATATGTTAATTTTTTTAATGATTTATTCAAAAACGTAAGAATAAAAACCGTAAGAATCATACATTTTTTACTTCATATGTTAAAAAAAATGATACAAAATCGCTCGATATTGTATGAATTCTTACATTTACAAAAAAAGTCACACAACCCGTCCATATATACTACTCTTGTAAATTGGATATTGAATTGGTACACTTACCAATTTCTGACATGCACTGTAAATACTGAATACAGGCTTGAAGAAAAGCAGAAAATAAAACGTATGTCAGGAAATTTTATTTAGAATTTACAATATTCTTATTTGTATTCTCAAATATTCAACATCGGTTTAGAATGTGATTTGACAGCCTTATATTTACTAATATTTTCTCGGCTAGGTTATTATAATTATTAAATCCTGGCGGATATTGCGAAAGTAGTATTGAAAGAATGGTTGAGCAAATGATTCTGGTAGCAAAATTTTTCTAAAACAAAATTTGACACGTTCAAAGATCTTTAAAATGACATCTAAAGGATGAAAAAGTATGTATGAATAAATGTTTACATTAAAATAAAAGGTGTAAGAACTGCTAGTGAGAATGAAAATCGCATGATAGGTTTGCAAGTTATTGATAGATCACAATCATCGGAAAATGCAGTCTTTGGGATATTGATGGAAATAAGTTTCTCTTGAAGTGCTGTCGGTGCTTGAAATGAACCGCATTTCTTAAGATAGGGACAGCCATCGAATGCTTCGTTATCAATCTTAGTGAGACTGGATGATGAGAAGAAGATAAAATTGAGATTTATGCAGTCTTTAAACGCTTGGTAGCCGATCTCTCGGATCTTGCTGCCACTGAAGAAAACTCGTTGATGAGATGGACTACCCATGAATGCACAGTTGCCGATAGTGATCATCTCGGTAGGAACAGCAAAGTTCTTGACACCACTGTATGGGAGGAAGAAGTATAAAATAGTCTGGTCGCGATCTGTGAGTGCACCGTTCTCAAACAAATATTTGTTGTCGTTAGGGTTAAGTGTGATTGTCTTAAGATTGAAACAGCCATAGAAGGCACCACCTGCACAATAGTTCAATGTGCAATCGGAAACCATTCGGATGTTGGATAGTAATGAGCAAGATTGGAATGCAAAGTTAAGTATTTTTGTAAGTGTTTTCGGAATGGTGAAACCTGTGAGAGATGAACAACCATCAAATGCATAAACATCGATATATTCAACACCACTCTTCATTTGCAAATTCTTCAAGGATGTACAGCGTTAGCAAAGTTGTTGCGAAATGTTGCATGCAAGAGTAAGATTCTCAAGTTTAGATTGTGCAAATGCTTGCATGCCAATAGTGTGACTTTGGCTTGAGATGTCTGCTGTGGTAAGACCGCTTTGATAGAATGCATAAATGCCAATGCTCGAAAGACTATTAAGATTTGATATTCCGATGTCGCCAATGACTGGAGATTCTCGGAATGCATAGTTTCCGATCTTTGTGATTGAAGATGGGAGAACAATTTGTGACAATGAAGGACATTGGTAAAAGCAATAATCAGGAATCTCTGTAATTTGGGAACCTTGAAATGAAACACGAACAAGGTTGTTACAATTGCTGAATGCATATTGTTCAATCTTCTTTAATCCGGATGGAAATGTTATTGATTTGATCGTTGATGAAGCAAATGCATAAGAAGAGATGTTGATCATTTCGTTGTTGTCAAATGTAACTTGTGAAAATGTCTTTGATTGAAATGCGCCTGAGCCAATTAATGTGCAGCTCTTGTTGATTACAATATTTGATGAGGCATCGGATCCAAGATATGCTGTGATAGTCTGACGGTTGTTTTTATACATAACATAATTATCTATTTGGATCTCTGGGTTCAATGAATTGATTGTTATTGAAATCTCACTGAAAACTGCATCACCTATTTGATCGCATTCTGCAGGCAGTGTTAATGTTTTTAGAGCATAGCATCTTACGAAAGCACCATTCCCAATTGACTTCAATTTTGATGGCAAAGTCAAATTTTTCAATGAACTGCAGTAAGAGAAAGCAAGCCTTTGAATCGAAACTATTGAATCAGTGAATTTCACCGTTGTCAAAGAACTGCAGCCATAGAACATTGCTTCAGCAACAGATGTCATCTGTGGAGGAAATTCGAATTCAGTGATTTTATTTAAACACAAAATCCATGTGCTAACATATGTAATTTGAGGTCCAAAGATACATTTTGAAAGTCTTCCTCCTCTTAGCGATGATTGTTCAATTCTTGTCACAAAACTGGGAACTGTATAGGTTCCTGTCAGGCCAGAACTTACAAATAACAATGTGTTATTATTATCTCCGATGAATATACTTGTTCCATCTGTTTTGAACTTTTTATTATTAGGATGGAAGGAAAATTCAATAATAGGACATAATTGGAAAGCAGAAAATGCAACATTTGTGCAAAATTCGGGAAAATAGAAATATTTCAAATGAGATTCAGCAAAAGAGTCAGATTCAATTGTAGTCAATTTCGATGTTGGATTAATTTTTATCTCCTCTAATCCGCTATTTGAAAAAACTCTAAAATAGACCTCATGGGGACTAGCAATAGTTTTTACAGAATCTGGCAACTCGAGTTTGAGCAAAGAACTTGTGAAATGAAAGGAACCAGAATTTAAAATCTCACAATTGGGAGGAAGTTGAACATTGGCCAGTTTCCTACATTCGTATAACATTGCATAGTTGATATTTAATAATTTTGTGCATTGGCTTAAATCACAAGAAACAAGCGCAGAATTAGCGAAACAACAGATGCAAACATTCGAAAGAAGACTTCCACGTTCAGCAATAATCGATGTGATGTTGTCTCGGCAAAAGCGGAATGGACTTTCATCTGCTGAGGTTCCTCCTTTAATCGTTGTGCAACTTGCTGGAATAATGTATTCACCAACAAGTGTATCTGGAGCTCTAAGGAGAATAGTACCATCTGCAGAAAATTCAACACCACGACTATTACCATCAGAAATTTCTTATAAAATTTTCATTATAAAAAATGTCACTTTTTAGTATTCAATAAACCACTTTTTTATAAAGTCATTGTTTACTTGAATGAATCTACTATTGTATGGAAAAAGCATCAAAGTTCCCCACTTAAACTCGCATAATAGCATACTTTAACAAATCTCATACTGAACAAAATAAGGAAAAAAAAGTCAAAAAGGAAAAATTTTTAGTGTCAAATTTTCCTTCAATTTCATTGTTTTCTTCTTTATTAAGTTTTACAAAAGTGCACAACTTCTTAAAACTGTTTTTATTAAATATGATATAAAGCAGAATGAGAAACAATAATTAATTGAATCTGATCTCACAATATTTTGTGAAAAGTATTCAAACCAATTGAGAAAAATTGTTTTGAAAATATATTGACTCTAAATTTGTGAACTATGTGTAATATCTGTGACTCACAAGAAAATCCAGTAACTCATGCATTCATATTTATAAAATACTACTTTAAAATGCTAAAATAATTCAGAATTGATTATTATGGATAAAAAAACTTTTTGTTCCCTTAATGGTACACTTACCATTTTCTGAAATGCTCTCAAAATGCTGAATATAGGTCTGAAGAAAAGCAGAAAATAAAGCCTATGCAAGGAAATTTGAGAGAATGTGAGAAAGTTGTAAGTTCGCCCTTAAAATATTTTATCTCATTCTAAATTCTTGCAATTTTATCACTATTCAATGGAAAGAAATATATAACAAGTCCTCCAACTTTAAGGATTCATTACTCAAAAATTCAAATAAAAAAACGCTTTTTTTGATGTTAATGTTTAAATCTCTTGTGTTCGAAATCTAAGAATCATGAGATTCTTGAATTAGAAAATCTTTTTTATTATTGCGCTCCATGTACAGATAAGAACGAGACGATCTCGGTGAAGTTTCCTTCTCTTGCAATAGAAAGTGGTGTGACATAATATCAAAATGAATTTGATAACCAAATGATTGATATAATTAGAAAAGGAACTATATAAACGAATGATAGACATGCAAAGAAAAGGAATGTCATTGATGTAAAAAGAATATAATAATAAAATGATGAATTTGAAAAGAAAGAGGACTCCAAAGATTAATAATGGATTCCATTAAACAATGAAGAATATGAAATTAAAATGAATGAAATGACTAGATAAAAGATGGCATTATGTAATATTGAACATGAAATAAAATAGAATGTGATAAAAATAATAATTAACGTGAATTATTAAAGAATAGTATGATTTGAAAATTAATTGCATAAGAAATTGATTAACATGAATCGTAGATGAATTTTATAAGATTAATAAAAGATATAACTTGAAAATGAATTCTATGTGAATAAGAATAACTAACTTGATGTTTACATCAGCACCATGCTCCACTAAGGATTTGACAATGTCCAATGATGAATATTGGATCGCTATTGAGAGTGGGCAGTCATTAAAATTCAATGAATTTCATAAGAAAATGTTAAGCATTAAAATAAATGTAATTCCATAATACAATGATCAATATAAAGTTTACATTAATTTCATAAATCAATAGAAAACATTATTGGAAAATGAATTAAATAAACATATTTAAAGATATAAAAAGACAGTGAATGTCACAAAGTTATAGTTAATTCCATAATTAAAATGATTTATATCATATAAAAATGAGAGATATAAGTATTAAAAAGAACTACAGGTTTTGAAAATGAACTCCGTTAAAAGATATGTAATCATATATATTGAAAGAAAATTCTATATAAAAATGAAGGATATATTTCACAGAAGAAATTTAAAATAAGATAAAAGATATTAGCATGAAATGAATGTAATGAATAGAAGAAAAATTCCATGAAAAAATGAAAGATGAGTTTCTTGTTGATAGAAGCACCGTGTTCAACTAAAAACTTGACAATCTCCAATGAATTTTCTTCGATGGCGATTACAAGTGGGCTGAGATTATTAGAAATTGAATTTCATCAATAAATGAAAGATATGAAAGGATGAACAATTGTAAGACTTAATAATTAATATCAAATGAAAATAAATGTCATAAATAAATGGAAAATATAATCGGAAAATGAATTTCATTTAGTATTGATTGATATGAAGAGAAATAGAATAAAATGAGAAAATGTTATACATTAAATGAAAATGTATTCTATTAAAAGAAAATCAACGAGCTCCATGTTTACATCAGCACCATGTTCAATCAAGAACTTGACGATCTCAAAGGATTTCGACTTGATTGCAAGTGAAAGTGGGATGTAATAAATCTACATAGAACAATATAGACATTAAAAGAATTGTATGATATTATGAATGATATAAAAAGAAAGGTAATTTCATCAAACAATAATAAATGTTAGAAGAAAATGAATAGAATAACACAATGGAAGATATGATTTGAAAATGAATGCAATGAAATGAAAAAGAATTCCATAATTAGAAAAAGAATATAATAAAACTAAGAAAGATATGATTGGGAAAAAGAACAGTATATTAAAATGATAGATATATGTGGAAAAGGAATCTTATAACACATTGATTGATTGTATGAAAAAACGGTAAATATAAATCGAAAAGAAATTGTTTTCATGTTGACATCAGCGCCATGTTCAACAAGGAATTTGACAAAGTCCAATGTGTTGCACTGAATTGCAATAGAAAGTGGTGTGAAGTTTTTGTAAAAAGAATTTGATTAAGAAATGAAAAATTTCAAAACTTAATGATAAATATGAATATGAAAATGAATTTGATAAAGTAATAATTAATAAGATAAAACAAAGATAGATATGGAAAGAAAATGAATATAATAACATAATAATTAATATAAAAGTAAAAAAGAACTCCATTAATATTTTGAGAATTTCATGACGAGCAAATGAATCCAACAACCAAATGAAATATATAAAAATTATAAGAACTTCATTACCTAAAGAAAGATTTCATAAATTTTGTTAACATTTGCACCTTTGTTGATCAAATCTGCAACAAAATCAAAGTTTCCGAAATGAAAACTGTCGGCAAGTGAATATGTTGTTTGACCATACTTCGATTTAAGTATTTCTGCAACTTCGAAATTATGGAAATTCATTGCAACATTGAGAACACTTTCAAAAGACTGACCATCTTGTAACATTTTGTTTACAATGTTCTTATTTCCGCCTTCGAGAGCATATTTGGCTGCATTTTCGGAATATTCTGCACCTTTGCTCTTGAGGTAATTGAAGCATGGTTCAGATCCAAATTTGCATGCGCAGTCAAGGAGAGAAAATTTGTATGGATCCTGTGGATTTACTTCGATATCTGGGAATTTGCTTTTAAGGTCATCAAGTTTGTTCCAAGCGATGTAATACAAAGCGGAATCCTTTGGATAAATGTCAAGAATATCTTCTTCTCTAAAAGATTTTCTCAAATTAACTTGGATTCCTTTATTGTATAACAATGTATTCAATTTTGGATTTGATGGAGTAAAAATGCATGAAAACTCCTTAAGGATGGGCACTCATAGGCTCCTGACAGCATAAAAATGTTATTATCTCACAATATAAAAGGAATCATAGGAATCTACAACTATATCTATATTGTTGGAAGACTTCTTAATGTATCATGCATATAAGTTTTATCAATAACTCCATTATGTTATATGATTGTAATCATATTTTCGTTTCATGTTCAAAAACATTAAAATCATACTAACTATATGAGTATTATATTTAGGAAGCTGATATATAGATATGATAAAATGCTAGGTTTTGTGATTAAGAATATATACTTATCTTTTAGAAAATAATACTTTTATAAAAAATTATATCCTATATAATCTAAAAAATTTGGACAATTAAAAAACATTAATTAAAAATAGAAGGTGAAAGTGTTTATTCAAAGAAGGTGCAAGATTATGATGTTTTGAGGGTGAAATAAATTTAATAATTATTTATGTGATTTAAGAGTAATACGATCATCGGTAGCTTGAAGACCTCTCTTTATAGCTCTTAATGCCGCAAACTTTTTTTGAACTTGCTTTGAATTTTTGAATGCTTTGATTAAATCTTTTGTTGTATCATACATTCTGAAATATCTGTTCATCATTTCTGGCATTGTTGGTAAATTTAACCTGTATCTTATTGCTACAATCGTTTCAAACATACTTTCATTGAAATGCAATATTGTGACTGCCATCCTAATTGGCCAAGAAGCATGCCAATTAATATTTTTATTAGCAAGCATTGCTTTGATATGGTTTATCGATTCAACTACTTGAGTTGAATGAATCTTTTTTACCATATCAAAGATTTTTACGGTATCTTCGAGGAATTTTTTAAGTGTTTTTATAGCAGTTTTATTTTTTGCATATTTCCATGGTTTAATCATCTTGCATTTTTCAGGATCTGGACAAAATTTATGATTTCCGGCATAATGTTTAGCGGAATTCAACCATAAAAACTTCTTTGTTTTAATTGACATATGTGTGTCATTGAGAAGTTGCCTAAGCCAACGCAATAAATTCTTTGAAATGCTAGATAAGATTCTGAATTCTGGCAGTTTGAGCTTTTTCTGTATATTGTTAAGAAAATGTCCAGGATCTCTGTATTCTCTGATACCTTTGAACGTATTTTTGATTGTAGAAACAATTTTGACATCGCCATCATGCACAAAAAAATTTACACGTTTTTCATTATTCCAACGCTTCAGCATTCTTTTTA